TGACGCAAAGGAAGACACCCTAGCGCATTACATGAAGCGTGTCAAGCTGCGAGCAGCCACCTTCGAGGCGGTAACTTATGTGCAAATACCAAGAGAGGAAAATGTGCACGCTGACGCGCTATCCAAGCTAGCGACCGCCACCGACTTCGGAACGACTCGTCTCGTGTCGGTACAGAAGGAAGAGGAGGAAAGTCACCAAGAAGTGGCGATTAATACCACCCAACTCATGAGCGATGAGGACTGGAGAGCCCCAATTGTGCGATACCTACGTGAAGGGACGATACCGGAGGACGCCAAAGAGGCATGGACTTTGAGGCAAAAAGCGGCCCGATGTACACTCATTGAAGGAGAACTATACCGGCGGTCGTTCTAGGGTGTCTACCTAAAGTGCATCGGACAAGAGGAGGCGCGCGACATACACGAAGGGTTGTGCGCAATGCACGCCGGCCCACGCAGCATGGAGCGTACCATTTTGCTGCACGGATACTACTGGCCGCGAATAAAAAAGGACACAAAGAAATACGCGGACCAGTGCCACAAGTGCCAAGTCAACGCGCGCCAGCACCACCTCCCATCCACTGAGCTTCAAGCCAACCTGAGTCCATGGCCTTTCGCGCAGTGGGGAGTGGATCTCTTGGGGCCCTTCCCAACAGCAAAAGGGAAGCGCAAGTACATCATTGTGGCCGTAGACTACTTCACCAAATGGATCGAAGTTGAAGCACTAGAATCGATAACGGCACAACAGGTGACGCGCTTCCTAAAGAACAACATCTTGTCGCGCTTCGGGGTCCCGAACGCGCTCATCTTTGATCATGGGAAGCAGTTTGACTGCGCAGAAGTGATAGACTTCTGCGACCAAGTGGGAACCATCGCAAGGTTCGCATCAGTAGCTTATCCCCAGGCCAACGGCCAAGCGGAATCCGCCAACAAAGCAATTCTGCACGGCCTGCACACCCGCTTGAACAACGCCAAAGGTAATTGGACCGACGAGCTCAATACAGTGCTATGGGCGCACCGCACCACGTACAAAGTGGCAACGGGCGAAACTCCTTTCGCCCTTAAATATGGCACCGATGCAGTAATCCCCATAGAGACAATGGCCCCGACCTATCGAATCACGAAGTACAGCGAAGAAGCCAACGATGAAGCGCGTTTGCTGGATCTGGAGTTATCACAGGAAAGGCGCGAGTTGGCAGCAATCAAGCTGGCCGCAATGAAAGAGCAAGTAGCCAAGTACCACAACGCGAAGCTAGTTCCACATAAGTTGATCCTCGGAGACCAAGTGCTGCGACGCAACTTCCGCCCCGACCCCAAGCACAGAAAGCTCGCCTCGGTGTGGGAGGGTCCATACCTTATCCGCGAGGTGGTCGGTGCCAACACCTTCAAACTCAGCGAGTTGGGGGGCAACAAGATACAGAGGACGTGGAACGCGCAAAACCTAAGGAAATATCACCGAGCAACTTAAATATGTATTTTTCATGCTATCGCGCTTTGCCGCAAAGAAATGGAAAGGAGTCAGTTCGCAAGAACAAAAAATTAGCAATAGTCCAGCACTATTCGCGCCCACTCAGTTCGCAAGAATAAAACATTAGCAATAGTCCAGCACTATTCGCGCCCATTCAGTTCGCAAGAACAAAACGTTAGGAATAGTCCAGCACTATTCGCGCCATTCAGTTCGCAAGAACAAAACGTTAGCAATAGTCCAGCACTATTCGCGCCCACTCAGTTCGCAAGAACAAAACATTAGCAATAGTCCAACACTATTCGCGCCCATTCAGTTCGCAAGAACAAAACATTAGCAATAGTCCAGCGCTATTCGCGCCCATTCAGTTCGCAAGAACAAAAAGTTAGCAATAGTCCAGCACTATTCGCGCCCATTCAGTTCGCAAGAACAAAACATTAGCAATAGTCCAGCACTATTCGCGCTCACTCGATTCAAAGGAACAAACAAACGCCGTGAATAAGCACTCTTTGGATTCAATTAAGCGGGAGCAACAAATAATCGCAACTACACTTAAAAAAAAAAAAAGAAGAAAACAAGAAAGACAACAAAGCAACAAACGCAAAGAGGGAACATGTCAACGCAAAGACACTTAAGCGCTTTGGCCCTCTTTACTCTGCTTACGGCGCAACAGGGGCTGAGCATCCTCCTCATCGCCATCATCAACTCCCTCAGCATCCCTACTTGCGCCCTCAGCCTTCCCCCCAACCTGGCGCTCTTCCCCTTCCGGGCTCTCTTCCTCTTCCTCATCATCCTCTTCATCACCCTCATCCCCCGACTCGGAGTCAGACTCCAAGGGCCGCTTCTCGCCAATCCACGTCTGGACGTGGCGGACCATCTCGCGCGTATCACAGCGAACTTCCAGGTTCTCCGGCCGAACCTTCTTCCCGACCGCGATAACGGCTTTGGTCATAGCGTCAGCCAAAATCTTCCCGAAAGAGGGAGAAGACTTGAACTGACGAACGGCCGCGACCTCGGCCTAGCGAATAGCTTCCGCCTTCGCGATGTTGTGAAGGCGGACTAGGTCATCCTTCTCCTTTTGAAGCTCGTCGCGAGCTTGCTTCAGCTTCTCATCATAGGAGGCCTCCAGCTGACTGCGGATGGTCGAGCGCTCCTCAGCTCGCACCTGCTCTTTCGTCGCCTCCACTTCGGCGGCCAGCTTGCTCTACAGGAGGCCAAGTTCCTCCATCGCCTCGTTGGCTTTGTTGGTGGCCACGTCGGTGCGGTTGTTTGCCCCGACGACCTTTCCCTCCAGCTGGACGATCTTGGCTTCGTCATCCTTTATCCTGGCGCGCTGCACTGCGCGCTCCTTCTGAGCCCGGAAGGTCGCCGACAAACCCTACAACCACAGCGCTCTAAAAAAAAGGGAAAGAAAAAGAGAGAGAGATAAGACGCGATAAAACTCAGCCCGATCTTACCGCGAAGTGGATCTGAGCCAAGTCATGAAGGGGATCAGACTTCTCCACCCGCGGCGGAACACTTAGGACAGGCCCAAGCGCCCGGAGCGCGGTATTCGCGGCCACAAGGTTGCATGCCGCCGAGGTATGAATCCGCACATCGCGGAAGTAGTTGACAGCAGCAGCGCCGGGAGAGGTGGCCGCGGCAGTCCCCCCAAAGCCTGCCATCTCGGGCAGCTTCTGCTGGACGGTGGCACCCGACAAACTTCCAGCCTTCTCTCTCTCTCAGACCGAGAGGGTCTGCTCACCAGCGCCTCCGGCTGTGAAAGCGCCAGGGATAACTGCCGCGCGTCAGACAGCGTTTGTTACGCCGGCTGAGCCCGCGCCTCCCGCGCACTTGTTTCCTCAACGCAAGCCACCTTATGGGGCTTTTCAACCGCTCGTGGCTGCTCAATCTCCTTCCGCTTCGCGCCCCTCGGTGCTGCGCCCTCCTCCTTCTTCTTCTTCTTGTCAACGCGCGGCGCCCTCACGACGTCGTCAACCGACATCATGCTCACCAAGTTGGAGAAGTCAACCCCTGTGCCAATAAGTCGTAAGAAAGCGGTTAATATGCTAAAATGCAAAACAAAAGAAATACAACTAACCATTGGCGAAAAGCTCCTGCAAACAAGCCTCGCGCACTCCCGCGTCGTATAAGTTCATCCTATGAGACATGCACGCCTCATACTCATCGTCCAGCCCGTCATAGACGCCGGCATCCGACTCGTACCCGTGCGTACTGATGGGGGCAATGCCTAGCGATGCACAGGATACGCGCGTCACTGGGGACACGAAGATCACGCAGAGACCAGACATGCCCCGACTCGCCCAGATCACGCCCATCTCAGTCAATAGCGCGGAAAAGACGGAATTGCGCAGATCCGAGTCAACCACAGGAAGATCAAACAGGTGGCATTCGCGGAATACCCCCTGATGGGGGGCAATTGTTGGGCATGTGACTTAGATCTCACCCCACTGAAGAAGCACTAAGGATACTCACGCCAAGGTAAAGCGCGCGAGTCACACCGGAGTCAAGCGCGCGAGTCACGCCGGAGTCAAGCGCACGAGTCACGCCGGAATCAAGCGCACAGGTAAAGACCACCCCCGGAGAGGCGGCCGCAAACACTAAACGACGACGCTTGGGACAGGCGTGGACCCTTATCGAGAAGTCGTAGAAGCGACGCCGCGTCATCCAACGGGTAGTCACCATCATAGTCCTAGGTATAGTCCTGCCTATGTCAGGAGTAGTCACATCAGGGTCCTAAAAGCAGGGGTCCTAAAAGTATGGCCTAAATCCCTGACATGTCAGTGGTCATGTCATTGTACCCACTTGTAACCCAACCACTCACCCACCACCATGTAGCCTATAAATATGGCATTTACTCCGGTGGGTGAGGGGATGGGATTTTTCGGACTCTATCTCTAAAATCATCGACTTCTCTCTCTAAGATATTTCTCTCTCAATTCTCTTTGTAAGCTCCTCAGTTATAGGCCGAAGATTATTTCCTCTTTGTTTACTCTCCTTGACCCATTTTCCCTGAGTCTCACTCCTACACCCAGTTAGGCTCAAACAGGAACTATCAATCCTCACATCAACTTGCTGTAACATCACAATGGAAGCAAATTATGCTGTGAAGTCGTCCATAAGAATCAATAAGCAATCTAGTGAGATAAGAATGTAAGCCGCAACAACAAAAATTCAATTGATGTGGCGTCAATGATGGAACTCTGCTAATAACGTTCATCTACAGTTAAGAAATCAGAATCTGCAGAAAGATAAACTTGTTAAATGTATATATGATTGGTTGCAGGTTGTACTGAGCTATAGGAGATTAGGGCCCCATTAATTAGAAGCCCATGCATACGTAGACCATGCACACGTCTAAGCCCATGCATAGTTGGGTGATCATTCATGATTTGACCTAGCTCGTGTAGGGTAAATAGGAGAGAAGGGGTGATAGCGGCTGTACTTTTGTGTTATGTATCTTATCTCAGTAAAATCAGTAGCCTGAAGAGCTTTCAACGCTCTTCTGTGGATTAGTCCTGGATATCCAGGGATACCACGTAAACTCTGTGTCCGTGTTTAATTTTCCTTTCCGTATTGTTCGAAATCTGTTTCTGTTTAGTTAACATGGTATCAGAGCTTACCGCGGCTGAATCGGAGAGGCTGACTGTTTGCCTCACTTCAACGAATTATTCTTTGTGGGAATTTCAGTTCCGGGTGTTTGTTGAAGGTCTAGGACTGTTGGGAATTTTGGATGGAACTATTCACCAACCGGCAGCAACTTGTGCCGCTCAAGAACGCACTGCTTGGTCCCAGAATGATGCGCGGATCAGGTCGTGGCTTTTAGGGTCTGTGGATTCATCCACATGCCTCAGCCTTAGATTGTTTCCCACAGCAAATAGGATGTGGCGACACCTTGCTGGGCTGTATTCTTCCGTCACTACGGCACGACAGTTTGAGGTTCAAATAGCGATTTCCCAGCTTGAGCAAGGAGGTCGTTCCGTCACCGCCTATTTCAATGCTGCACAGGAATTATGGACCGAGCAAGACATGATCCAATTGGCGCTGCGTCCTCAAGATGTGACGTATGATAGGATCATCGAAAGGAAGCAAGGTCAAGTTATGCAATTTCCCATGAGATTGAGGCCCGAGTTTGAGAACGTGAGATCCACCATTCTGAATCGAGAGGAGCTGAATTTTGATGGAGTATTGAGAAGCTTAGTTCGTGAGGAGACCAGACTGAGAACGCAAGCTCTATTTGACTTGCGCCCAGGAGAAGGCGAAACTATAGTCGCCGCATCTGCCGCAACTTCTCGATCAGGTATGTGTCCGAATTATGGTAATAATTCTCAAGCTTTTGCAGTGTCGAGGCCTCAATTTTAGAATAGGGTGCCTAATTCCGCACTCGAGTGCCATCACTGTCACGAGAAAGGACACTTGGTTAAGCATTGTCGACGCAGAAATTACTGTGTGTACTGTAAGAGAATGGGTCACATCGTTTTGGAGTGCCGATCTCGAGAGCATAATGCAGAGCGCTATACTGGAGCTGTGAAACAGGCAGGGGCTGGACGCAACACTCAAGGACGTCCATACAAGCCCTCGTATGCAGTTGAATCAGGCGAGTCGAGTGGTGGTACCACCGCAGCTCAAATTGAGCAGTTGGTCCAAGCTGTAGCCGCTCTCCAGAATTCTCTTCCTACAGCAATTGGGTCTGCGCTGTCTACTCTCCAAGGTAAAATAAAATCTAAACCTTGGTTGATTGATTCTGGATGCTACAATCACATGACTAATGATAAGCAATTTTTACATACAATTTGGCCTATTAGTCATTAGTCATGTTGGTTTGACAGTTGCAAATGGAGATAAAATGGACGTAAAAGGTGTTGGTAAAGTTCATACTCCTAGTATTTCTTTACCTAATACTTTACATGTTCTGGCCTTGGTTCCTAATTTAGTTTTAGTTAGTCAGCTTACTTTTTTTGATAATGGTGAGAGAAATATTATTAATAAACTAAAAACAAACCAGCAAAGGTTCAAGCCGCACAAGAAGTACAGCCAAAACTCCAGAACAGACTGAGAACAAACCAAAAGAAGAGAAGAAGGACACACGAAAAACAACAGAAAACCCAGAAAATCAACAGACAATAGATAGGAGTCTCAATATACAACCCAACCCCGTCTAGGCTGACCAAACAGCCCCTGACCCAAAACCCATAAACCATCGGCAAAATAAGCCAACAACAGCTACCCGATCACCCTTCCAAACCTCGCAATCAGGCTGAGAAGCAAACCGCAGCAACCAAACACCTGCAATCAACCGCGAACGGCAACAACCCCGAGAGCAGAGCTCAAAGAATCACACAAAAAGATAGAAGCTCTGAATGTTGTTGTTTCTCAACCAATCATGTCCCTATTCCTTGCTGGCTTTACCGAACGCAACACACTCTCAACAATCCAGCTGATGGACTTCTGGAAAACAGCGACTGCCCCTTGACTCCTATCTCTGAACGTACGCTGATTCCTTTCGAGCCAAACCTGCCAACAGATCATGTGAAGCGCCCCGTAGACAATCCAATCGTTGAGGTTATCTGGATAATCGCAGCTCCATCGTCTAATAGTGTTAAGGATGTCCCTCGAGGGGATCGAAAGGTTGCTGCAAACCCTTCTAATAGCCTCCCAGACTTCTTTGGTGAAGATACAATCAATGAACAGATGGTTAATTGATTCCTCAGCCTTGAAACACAGACAACACCGGTTAGCAAGCACCCATCCTCTCCTCTGCAGGTTATCAAGAGTGAGGATTTTCATATGGGCAACCGTCCACATGAACGCACGGATCTTGTGAGGCACAAAGTTCCTCCAAACATAATCATCAGGGAACTGCTCCACGCCAGGGAACCTGCTGCTTATGAGGTGCCTGTATAAAAGTCGAACAGAAAAAGACAACTCTGGTTTTGGGGACCAGACCACCCTACTAGGGCCACTAAAAACTTCATCAGTAATGGCTGAATTAATGACATTGAAGAACTCTAACCTCTCTCTCTCGCCCGCCCCCCCCCCCCCCCCCCCCCCCCTCTTCTCAAATTAATATTGAAGTTTAAATTCCACAAAGTACTCGTACCTGTGTTGTTGGCAAGGTCAGAAACCCAGGCTTCCGGTAGGGTGGCAGCAGCGGCAGCTCTAGGAAAAGCATATACTAAGATCATATTAGGGACCCAGCAATCTTTCGAAAAAGAAACCCAAGCACCGCTGCCCGGATCGACATGGAAGACCTTCCAAAAGGATTCGTATTCTTTTGTAATATTAGCCCAAACCGACCCTCCGTACCCACCCCTAAACCTTCTGCTTTGCCATTCTGATTCAGACAGATATTTCATCGAAATCAACTTCATCCACCAACTGTTTCTGTCATTAGCAAACTTCCATAGCCATTTACCTAGCATAGCCTTGTTAAAGCAGTGGAGGTCTTTCACCCTCAACCCCCCATTCTCCTTCAGAGCCTTGCAAAAATCCCATTTAACCAGTGGAATCCTCCGATCTTCACTAGCCCCGCACCATAGGAATCTCCTCTAGATTCTTTCCAACCTATTAATAGTTCCTCTAGGAGCTCGAAAAAGAGAGAAGTAGTAAACAGGTTGGCTGGTAAGAACAGCGTTATTAAGGACCAATCGCCCTCCCAGAGAAAGGTAACGACATTTCCAGCCTGCAAGTCTCCTCTCAAACTTATCAATAATTGGCTCCCAGATTGTAGAAGAATTGACCTTGGCCCCTAGCGGGAATACCAGGTACTTCGAGACCTCCCTGCTCCTATTACAACCGAAGAGAGCAGCAAAGTAGTCTGGGTTGGGGACGTCCCCGACCGGAATCATTATCGATTTCTCCAGATTAATCTTCAGGCCAGTGATAGCTTTGAAACAGACCAAAGCAGCTAGAATATACAAAACTTCGTCGTACGAAGCCTCACAGAAAATTAGCGTATCATCCACAAACAGCAGATGAGTAACTTCTCCATCCCCATTCGACTCATTCATACAAAAGCCCCTGATTTTACCATCCTCCTTCAGTTTGTTCAACAAGAAAGAGAGCAGCTCCATTATCATAGTGAACAGACCTGGCGATAGTGGATCGCCTTGCCGGAGACCCTTACTAGTCTTGAAAAACCCCTTAGCCTCACCATTGATAATCGTCGATATCATCGGAGAGCACATGGTTCCGCGAATCCAGTCACACCATTTCTTAGGGAACCCCAAGGAATCCATCACTTTGAAAAGACAGCTCCAGCTCACATTGTCAAACGCACGTTCGATGTCGAGTTTAAACATTAGGCCGGGTTTTCTGCTATTCTTTCTGCTGTCAAGAAGTTCAAAAGCAATTAGCCCAGCCTCCGATATTTGCCTACCACGAACAGAGGCCTGCTGAGACGGGGAAATAAGCTTGGGAAGAACTGTACTATGTCGACGAGCAAGGATTTTACTTATAAGTTTATTCAGACTTCCCATTAAACTTATTGGCCTCAGATCCTTGATATCTTCCACGGCGTTGCGTTTGGGCACAAGACATAAAAATGAATGTGTAGCGCACTTGGGAAGGGTACTTGAGCTGTGGAATTCTGTAATAGCATTAAGGACTTCAGTTCGAATAATCGCCCAACACTTCTTGTAAAAGTCCCAAGTGAACTCATCTGGCCCTGGCGCTTTCCATCCATCACAGTCTCGAATGCACGCCCATATTTCCTGTTCCGAGAAATACTGAGTAAGAGAGAGACCTTTCGTGTTACTCAGCCTGGTAACATCATAGTTCCTAGGGAAGGGTCTCCTCTCCACTGATTCTTCAAAAAAATTGGCATAGTAATCGACCACACCTCTGGTCAGCTCTTCCCTTCCTTCGAACCTCTCCCCACTAATGGTTAAGCAATATCAGGTTGAATTTTTTCTTGTAATTTGCCATCAAGTGAAAATATCTCGTGTTGTCATCGCCAAATTTAAGCCAGTGCTCTTTAGCCTTCTGCCTCCATGAAACCTCTTGGAGAAACAACAACCTGCTGAGTTCCACTTTGTACCCTTGCCTTGCGATAGTCTCACTGTTAATCAGAATTCTTGATTATTCCTCCGAATCCAACTCCTTTATCTTGGAAAGAAGTGTATCAATCTAAGAGTTAATGTTTCCAAAGGTATTCCTGTTCCAAACTTTAATATAGCTCTTAAGGTTCTGCAACCTCTTACTCCAATGAAAGGCAAATCCATGTCCAGCTAACTCATTCCGCATCCAAGTCTCCATTTCCCTAAAGAACCTCTCGTCGTGTAGCCACATATTTTCGAACTTCCAGGGTCTCCTGATTCTACTACAACCTCCCCATCTGATAAGTAACGGATTATGATCCGATTCTACTCTCTCCAGAGCGCTCAAGGTGCAATCTGGGAATAGATGATCGAAGGAAGTGGTGACCAAGGCTCTTTCTATCCGGGACATAGATTCAGATCCATCTCCTCTACACCAGGTAAACAGGCTTCCTCCCAAGGGAATTTCGATCAAAGCATTGTTGTCGATAAATTCGTTGAACTCCTCCATAAGGTTGACACTACGTCTGACACCTCTATAGTCTTCGTGGTTGCGCACAAGATTAAATTCGCCAGCTAAGCAAAGAGGGGTTTCAGTAATTTGACATAGCCCATGAATTTCTTGGATAAAGTTGAGTTTATCATTCCGTTCTTGGGGTCCATACACCACAGCAAGAGACCAAGAATTCAACGAGGAAACCTCTTGAAAATCGATAAGAAGATAGTAATCCCCGATCCTGGAAGAAACAGCCTGAAAACAACTCTTATCCCAAATAATGGCAATACCCCGCACTATTGCTGGCATTCTTCACTGCATAACCTCTGTCTCTACTTCCGCAAACTTCAGAAATGAGATCATCACTACACTGGTTCCACTTAGTTTCAACAAAGCACACAATTTTAGCATTTCTTCTAGCCAGCAGCCTTTTGATCCTACACCTTTTACCATAATCCCCAAGACCCCTAATATTCCACACAATGATTGTCGTATTCATTAGACCCTAGAACTTGTACCTTCCTCATCCCTTTTCCTGTTCCTTCGAGACATCGACAATGGCGTTTCTAAAATACCCAATCTTCGTTGTTCCATTTCCAGTTTAGACCTGGGTAATCTCACCTTCCTCTGGTGCATAAGCCTCGCCTTGCTAACAATAATCTGATCTCCTTGCGCCTCTCCATCCTCATGCACAAGCTTAATCAATTGACCCACTTCTCGGCTTCTGTCAACCAACGAATCCACGTCGAACGGGAAATCATTCGGCCCCCATTCCTTCTCCTGGCTAACTGGCACACATGAAGGCGAAGGGAGTTCAGGAGACATCTCAAAAGTGGGACTCCCACAAAACGCTAAATGAGGGGAATGTGGCGGACTATCGTGCGATTGAACCAGGACAGAGTTTTGGGATGGAGCGGGTAGAACAGGAAATGCAGCTGAGTTCAGATCTGAAGGGCTCGGCTGGTAGGTAAAGATGGTGGTGGGTAGTTTTGGGGGACTGGTATCTAGAGAAGAATTCAACGCATGGTTGGGGAGAAAAGAGATTAGCAAATGCAGGTGAGGGTTAAAGGTAGGAAGATGGGCACTGGATGAGACCAAATCGATGAAGACATCGGATAGCCAGGTGAAATGGTTCTGGAAATTGAAAGGGAGAGGGATTGTGTTAGTGATGATACGAATCGGATTAGGCTGGCAGGAGGAATTAGGAATGGATAGGTTCAAAGGCTTAGGCCTGCACCAAAGGGCTTATCCCAACACACCAGGCCTGGTCAATAACTCTCTATTGTCTGAGACGGCGTTGGGCTTACACCAAATTGGCCCATACTTCCTTACCCAAACTTTCTTGACTCTCCCTGTCGGCCTTCTTTCAACGGGCATTGCGTCCGAATTCAAATTAGCAGACACTGAAACGTCACTCCCCGGGGGAGTCTCCATGCAACCACGCGTGCGATTCTTCCCATGAAAGGCTCCAAAATCCGAGGCAAGAAGAGGCAACTGGGTTCCCGCAAGCCCTTAGAGGACAACGAAGAGACTGATGGGCTTCCAGTGGACTGCACAATTATCAACTTGAATTCTTCTCCGGCAAACCTGATAGGAATAGATTCCGTCACCGGCCTAACCCCCTTAATCCGAATTCTGACAAACTCCGATGACCAGTGTTGCCAATCCACTTCCACCAATTCACCAAAAAAATTCCCCAATACTTTTGATTAGGTCGATACTTTTTAAGTGTAACGGAATTCCTGTCACCATCACCCACTTGGTTCCAGAAGAGTCTCCCCTGTTCATATCTTCTTTCCAATGGGTTATGCTTAGGTCGACATTCCTGAACATGCTTCGGTCGAATCTCTTAATGCGCATTGCACGATGCCAACTGGGGCATATTAGTAGCCATTCCCCAGTTCCTCTGCTTATCCATCCAAAGTTAGCGTCAATAGCCCAGTTTCTCTCGACCCATCTCCTAAAGTCAGCATCCTTGAAAGCCACCGGAATGTTATGATTCCATATCAAGAGCTTGATCACCAGCGTTCTCCCCAAAAGTTCTTGTCTTGACCGGACACCCTCCTCCTCCACTTCAATGAATCGTTTACATCCAGAGCCTCTGATAGTGCACCTCCCAGCTCCGTAAAATCCCCCACCCTTCACCACCTTCGCGTACGATCTAACCGGTGAACTCGTCTGAGCCGGTAGCAACGGGGGTAGAGGCAAGTTCTCCCGATTAAAGCCTTTAAACTTGCGTTATAGGTTATAGAACTCTTGAAGCATGGTAATAAGTTGAGCCCAACCTAGTCTACCCTCCAGTTCTGGAATCAGAACTTTGAACACCCTACCGCTTTTGACAGCCTCAGAGATTTGGAGCAGGACTCGACTCTTGGTAATGGCCCTGCCCACATGGACCACGCGATCCCCAACTTTCTTCACGAAGCCCTTACCAAATTTCCATTCTCTCGCTGCGGCTGTTTGAAGAACACCTTGCAACCAAGCTAGATGGTCCACACTGAGCAAGATGAACCAACTTTTCGCATCTTCAGTCACCTGAATTCTGTACCAAGTTCCTCCCCGTTCTTCTTCCCTTCCTATTGTCACCAGCTTAGACCCAAACCATGATTCTAGCTTACACTCTTCCCAACGTTGGCCGCCGCCACCGCACGAACCTGAATCCTGAGACCTGCGCAAACAAACAACAGAAAGAGGACACGAAAAGTTAGCCCTACCCCTTGCGCTCACCCTCTCTGGATCGCTCACACGCTTGCGGACTCTCTCTCTCTCTCTAACAAAGCACCTTTGGACTTAGTCAGCTTACTGAGCAGGGTTGTTCTGTTATGTTTGCTCCTACTGGCTGTGTTATACAGGAATCATTTGGAAGAGCTTCAAGACAATCTGATTCCTTTGCATACCTCGAGCTCTAGTCAGCCTGTGTCTAGGCATGTAAATAGTCCTCCTTTGTCTGTTAAATCTCAGTCATTTGTTGGTCCAGTTTTTTCGGTTTTAGAAAATAAAGTTTGGGAACTGTGGCATGAACGCCTGGGGCATACACATTCTGGTCGTCTTTCAGTCATGTTTAAACAATCTCTTCTTCACAAGAACCATGTTGGCATTTCAGCAAATCTTTCTTGTACCAGTTGTGTTGAAGCAAAGACATCTAGTACATCTTTTCCTTTCAGTACTACTGTCATAACAGAGCCTTTTCACATTATTCACACGGATCTGTGGGGTCCTTTCCCGACTGTTTCTCGGCTTGGCTATAAATACTTTGCTCTCTTCATTGATCAGGCCACTCAATACACCTGGATATACTTTCTTCGTCTAAAATCCAAACTTCGTTCTGTTGCTATTGAATTTCTAAATATGATTCAAACCCAATTTGGAAAAACAGTCAAGATTGTTCGTTCTGATCCAGGAGGTGAATTTAGTTCCATTCATTTGCATGAGATCTATCGTTCTCGAGGTATATTGAGTCAAATGTCCTGTCCTGGTGTCTCCAACAAAACGGTCTAGTTGAACGAAAAAATAGACATGTTATGGAACTTACCCGTGCCCTTCTTATTGCTTCATCTGTTCCCGGTCGGTTCTGGCCAGAGGCTGTTGTTACCGCCGTCAAGCTCATTAATTATCAGGTCACTCCCACTCTTAGTCAGACCAGTCCGTATTATGCTCTTCATGGTCATCATCCTGATTACTCTCGTCTTAGAGTTTTTGGCTGCTTATGTTTTGTTCTTCTACCTAAACGTGAGCGAACGAAGCTAACTTCCAAAACCGCTAGATGTGTCTTCCTTGGGTATAGTAGTGTTCATAAAGGGTACCTATGCTTTGATCCTTCAACTCAGCGCATGCGGATTGCAGCCTCGGTAATTTTCTTTGAGCATATGATGTTCTATCCATATCGGCCTGCATTGGATTTTGAGTTTCCTGGTGGGACAAACTCCTTACCTATATTTGATGAAGAAATGGACGAGGTTCCATCTATATCCAATGAGCCTGCCACTCCTCCTTTCCCGCATGATCTGTCTCCTCCCTCCACTAGCACTTCGCAGTCTACAGCATCATCAACAACAACTTCCAGTAGCTCGCCATTTGCTCATGATGAGGAATTGCCGAATGTACAGCCCGCTACCCGGCAGTCCACTCGCTCCAATAAAGGAGTGCCGCCAACCCATTTTCAAGATTATGTGGCCCATGGTGTTGACACATTGGTTGTTCCCACTACCTTCAAGCAAGCTCGTGAGAATCCGATATGGGATAGTGCTATGCAGGACAAGTTCACAGCCTTGGAGGCAAATCGCACATGGTCCGTTGTTGACAGGCCAATTCTGTGTCCTCCCACTATTGGCTCTCGGTGGGTATATGCAATTAAAGTACGTCCCGATGGCTCCGTGGAATGCAACAGAGCTAGGCTTGTTGCTCTTGGCTACACTCAAGAGCATGGAGTAGATTACAATGAGACTTTTTCTCCCGTGGCTAAGATGTCTACCGTTCGAACTTTGCT